CTCTCTCTCTCTCACGGCATGACAGTCGCGTCGTCCAAAGGAACGTGACGTGATTTACATACTTATGTATAGGTAACGCATCGCGCGACAGGCCCCTCTCGGTCAACATCCTGCTTCCTGTTCTCTGTGTGTTGCACGAGCTCGGCCCCGCGCGCGCGCGCAAGTCGTGCGTATGCACGCGTGCCCCGTTATACACGTCCGATATGGACAAAGTGTATGCGTATCGGGCACGCAGACACGTCGATAACAGGCGGAGCCGTCCATAACGGTGATTAATCGGGATTAGACGAATGGCGAGGAACATGTGCTCTATATGCGTTCGATATTTATACTTCTGCGAACATCCCGTTTTCAGAATCCCGATATAACTAGATCGAATCCTGATTTTTTCCCAAAGAGATTTTCAGATCTCTCGATGTACGTATAAAAAAAATCCTTACAGGGAGAGATACCAACTTCGCATTATACGTTAATTTATAACATCTTTTTCTTTCAATCGGGATCAATTTAAGCCGTAGTATCTTTTGATAAAAATCCGATGCTGTTCCGAACTCTCCAAAAAATTCCGGAATGGAATTTCAACACATTTTAATCCAGGCAATTGGAAAATTTCCATCCACGTCCGTCTCGCCGATGCGATGGCAGCGAATGCCCGTCCGCTTCATTTATCGTATCGACATTCATGACGTGACTACTCATAAACGAACATAAATGAATTTTACCGCAATCGTCAGCACGCTCAAGGGCGTGCTCGCGTGATGCATACGTATTACAAAATTTAACGTGTCGATTTCGTTGCAGGTGCAGCCGGTCGCCGAGCTATCGGAATTATCGAGACGCGGCAGTTGTGACGGACGTCAAGTCGAATTGGCACCTGCGAATATCCGCGGCGGCACGCTTCGCCGGTCCGGCAGTTTGCGGTTTCATCAAAATACAGTAAGCCTATCGTCATTTCCCGTCTTAACGCTTAGAGCTTAAATGATATAAGTCAAGTTTGTGCTGACAAATCCTTATACGGAAGAAATAATTAAAGAAATTTAGATCATTTCTTAAACTTTCGACAGTCAACGCAAAAGAATTTCTGAGAAGAAATAGAATTTTAAAAAATATAAATAATAAATTTATTGACTTGTATCATTTCAATTTTTATCTCAATCGTCAAAATTAAATTATTCGCTATACCGTCAGGCTTCTCCAGCTTTCTATTTTTTATGTTTCAATATAATATTACCTATAGCTTTGTAGTTTGAATAATTTCTGTGACATCCACGTGTGAAAAGAGGACTGAAGAATAAAGGGAGCATAAGTAAACGAGATAAAACGCAATCGACTTAGCGAAGGGCACGCGGAGAAATAAAGTTAATAAAAGGATGACGCACAAAGAGGGTACAAAATTGCAGCGGGATGCGACGGGGCTGCAGCGCGATGCGACAACGAGGAAAGAGGATGACAATAGTGGAGAGACGCTCACTTTCCACCCACATTCCCTAGAGCGGCGCAGTGGCATAGCAATCGCATAACGGTACATCTCTACTGACTGCCTCGTACCGTAATACCTCGTTTCCGCCGAACTTCGAGCTGTAATCTAAACTATGGGCGCAGCCCGTTACAAGAAAATGCAGGCTTTTCACGGCGGCTCGGTCACGTTTTCACAAAGATGCAGAGTGCATCACGCAGAGCATTAAGCCTCAGAAAATACACAAAGAATTTATTATTCAAAGAAAAAGAATTATCTTGAATGGATTTCTAAAGTGAAGAATATTTTCATACACACACAAATTTCCCGAATGTGGCAAACGCATTTCTGTCGTCTGAAAGCTGTAGTTACTATAAATGATGCGACAGTTGCATGTATCACAAACAGAAGTATTAGAACGAGATACACATTGATCCGGGATTGATGCTTATATTGTTAGCAGAAACGAACATGTGTGTCACATTATTCCCGCACAAGTTGGAGACACGACCCATTTGCGGCTCATCATGTCGCGGCTTCGCCGGTAGTCGAGCTTTGCGGGGCTTTCGGAGCTGCCTTCATTAAATTAAACTGTCACGTGACGTAATGCGCATTCCTACTCCACTTATCGCAACGAGATCGAAGCGACCGTTGTAGAAGAACACGCCAAGAATGAGCGGTATCGCATCCGCATTTCTGAATTCATCGATAAGCGTGAAACGTAAATTGCATTCACGTACATTAACAATATTTTCCCACGATGCTCCTATGGGATGGATCTAACAGGATTCCGTATATTCGAGCGTTATTAAGCTCCCGGCGACAGTTTGATGATATTCTATTTCAACGTGATCTCAAAATAGTTAAGAAATAACACGTCTGTCAAGTATATAAATACTCCCGTAAACCTCACGGTAAGCGAGAAACACGGTTTACCATTGGTAGCGAACTCTGTAATTAAATTGTCACCTCAGTTGGAATCAGTTCGTTTAAGCTTTCCTCGATCTCAAGATTTCAAATCAGATCTCGTCGGTCTCGCTTGAACAACAAGAATGTAATAGCGAAACGCAATTGTTCTCGGAAATGAAACGAACATGATCATCGTGAACACGGGCGTCGTTGCTCACTGCGCAATTTGTACGCACATCGAACGCGAGCAACGTGTCGTAATTGGCAATTAGCTCTAACAAAGTGCGACTTATGCTGCCGTTAAAATGCACAGTGGAACGGGCACAATGATATTTACTGACGGTCGATAAAGCCGACAGTATGGCGGTACAGCAAAGGACGTGCTGCCGACAATGCCGTTGTGGAGAACATCGCGAAATGCAGCGAGCAACGAGAATAGCTGCCTTTTCCTGCCTTCGCGATAAAAGCGTCCTTTTCAAAACTTTCTTGCGTATACATTGAATAAAAAATTCGGATCCACTTCATTCAACATTTTTAAAAAATTCGTACGTTCACAGTGGAGAAAAAAGATTACGTGGTATATTAAATTACGAGGAAAGACTAGAAAGGTACATTTCGAAAGAAAATTTCCACGGGACTTTCAACGGAAAATTAAATTTAAAAATTGAGCGTAGAATTTTTTAAACTTCTCGTCTTTCGTCATTTGTCGTATCGCGAACTTTATTTCCGAGGGCAACGATCAGGGAACGATCACTTCTCAGGGATATTAAAGGTCTGTAAGTCGACACCGGTGAAAAAGAAAATCACAGACCGACAATCTTGTGATCTTATTAATCAAAGAACCGGCGAATGCCGCTAAACGCGCGCAGCTGCAAAATGCAACGTCGGTAGTTGCTCGGGGTGGTACACGGTTCGCAACGTCCTCGTGCAGCTCTCCGTACTCTCTCTCTCTCTCTCTCTTTCTCACGGTGCACCGTGACGGCTCGCTCGCTCGCACGCTCGCCCGGTTCTACCACGACGTATCGGCTACGTAAATGTCAAATTACGTAATTAGAATTGCACGTTACGCGCTACGTGGTGAGTAATTACGCCGTTACCGCCGCAGCACTATTATTACGCCCGCGAGGAAGGTACTGGGTATACGCGCGATAACATCGCCGATCGCCGGGGGATCCCCGCCGCGCCGCGCGCCGGTCGCTCGTCGCGATATGTAGGCCAATATAATCGTGTATCTCCGCCGTGTGCAGGAACGTGAGCGTGGTTTCCTTTTCCATCCGGAAAATCGCGCGCCGTTAAGACCCGCCGGACGTTAACCCCTTCGGACTCGATTAACGGCGTAATGCCGCAAATTCATTACGTTTCTTTAGCTCGATGCGAGCAATGTTGCTGCCGATAAGGCGAAGGAATTTTCTCACGGGAAGAAAACGTGCGATAACGCATGTGGCACTAAGAAGCGATGCACCTATACGGCTGCAGCCTTATAATGACGTCAGCTTATTGCCTATAAATATCGGGCGTTCGAAAAAAAAAAGTAGGTTGCCCACGCGAGCAGAGGGCCACGCGAGTTTAACGGCCCCTCGTCGTACGCGTCTATGGTTTGTGCAGCAGGCTATTGCCGGCATACCGGCGTCGATGAAGCGCGGTACTAAAAGCTTCAGCAGCGAAAATATAAATAACGAAACCTTTTATCCTCCGTTTAACCTCGTATGGATGTCGGAGTCGAGAGTCTGCGATCCGAATTTTAATCAGGATAATAATTACAGAGATATCTTCGAATTTAATGAATTCGAAGAGGCGAATAACGTTATCAGTTTTAACTCGTAAAATCCTAATGAGAACGGTGCGATTCGCTTAACTTTTCATCGGTGTCGTGCTATTTCGCAAAAATGAATAGGCCACTCGAGCCGGCTGTGCCGCTTGCGAATAAATTTGCATGCAGTTGTTGCGATCGGTGGGCAAAAGGCGAAGTCGGTCGCCGCCGCATTCGCGGCGCGGCGCGGCGCGACACGACGACGGGGCGTAATTTGTATTTTATGCACGTAATCGCGGTGGCTCGGGAGTCCACGTACGTGCACACGTACGCGCGCACCCGCCCTCTTATCTGCCCACGTTGATGCGAGACGGCGTTAACGCGTTATATACCCCCGCGTCGTCGCGCGCCGTCAGCGGCTCGTAGCGAGAGGCATCTTGATTGCGATAGGCGAGAAGATGCCGCGTGCATTACACGCTCCGGCTGATCCTTGGCGCCTCTCTGACACCGCCTTTCTGCCTCCATCGTCGTTCCTCTGGTGCTGGATACCTCGTACACTTCCCGATGTTCTCTTTTACTCCGTCGAGAAGTTAATCTCCTTTGTGACGTTAGCATTAATGTGACTATTTTCATTTCTTGAATGAAACATGATGCTTATGAATTGCAGATAATCTTAACATAAATAGTTTTTCTCGTACAAAAATGCGTACTGAAAAATGTGATATGATACTTTTCCATCTCTTAATATATGTATACAAATAGCTTTTTTGTATTCAAATGATTATTTATGCCAGAATTTGTGGCACTGTAAGTTGAACTTGACAACATATACTTAGTTTTGTTAGAAGTTTTTAAAAAAAATCAGTAAATAATGTTAGGATGATGCTACGGAAATGGAGCGCAATCATATCGCGAATATATGTACGGATTCTATCGAGCGAGCTTGTTTTAAATCGGATCAAGATGGTTTAGACGCGTGCATGTAAGCATGTTAGCTCGCACTGTGTGGCCCCAAGTACGCGCGCTGTTATAGATTTACGACTCGCGTCTGCTATGACCGTACCAGTCAATCCGGTCTGTCCGTCAATTCGTGAGTCATCGAACGTTATTCTTTTGCCCGCTGATCAAAAACAATATTCAGTTTTCACTCAGATGCCGTCATTGTCGCTTTTTTTTTCGAGTCTAGCTTATCTGCCCAAAAAAACGACTATCAATAACACCTATTTCGTTAAAAAAAAAGTGTTTTTTCTGGACTTCTCTTATGGATCTTTAAATTTTCGCGGCTCTTTCTCCTTCTCCTTCTCGCATCGAATACCTTTGGATACCTTTCTTAAATCCACCACTTACAACAACTTCATTGGCCGCAACCACGCCTACGCCAAACGCTACAACGCACAAGGTCGATTTAGCAATTCGCGCAGCGTGAGCGACTAAAGGACTCGTTTTCCATTTCATTTCTTTTTTCTCCTCCTCTCGAGAACCTGGTGCGGCCTCGAACGACCTTCCCCCGTGGATTCTATTGGTGTTTTCGATAGTTTCTCATCGAGATTTATACCGTATTCGCATTCCTGTAATTCTTACGGGCAAACAAATACCAGCGGAATTTATGGCTACATTTATCTTTGTGACGTTTAATTACGTAAAATGACAGATTTGTTAAAATCTCGAAATCGACCGTAATTTCTTCGAGACAGTAACGTGCCGGCTCGGAAGCGCGATAGGACAATAACCGCGCCGCGGCTATGTTAGAAGGGTATAACGGTTATTGAAATCCAATTGTTCGCAGAATGCAGCGCGTCAAGTCGAGTTTGCCTTGTTTGT